CGTTCTGTCCATCTTAAGATAAACAGTTACAATGCTGTTGTCGTGTACTCTGGGGACTTCTATAGCTTTAAACGGTTCATTGGCTAGTGAAATTGTTAAAGAGCATGACAATATATCCACGGGCCATCAGTATCCAGGCGGTTCCGTGCCCACGTTGACGGTTTTGGGTTAAAGGTATTTATTTACCTAACAAGATACAGCAAGATAGCCTTTTACCAACTTAATGTATCACCTATAAAGAAACGTTTCACATTAACCTCTCTGTAATCCATTTATCGGAGTTTGAAGACGTACGGATTTATTGTAGTGTAAATAATGTTTTATTATTGAAAATACTCTTAAGTTTTAACATCGTCAAAAGGCATTACGTTAACTGTTAATCGCATTTCAATACGTTATCTTTATGAATTGCTGTCGTCTGCGATGTGGAGAAAACTTGTGGTGAAGCCCGGGCTTCGTTTATTTTTTATTATTTGTGTTCCAAATGGCATGGTTTCATCGGGTTTAATGTTGGTACTTACTGTTTTGCTTGTGCCGCACCAATCATATAACTCTTCTTTGACCTACATTTTATGATGTCATCTGGTAGATAAATATTTATATACTTTAGTTACAGAATGTAGCCTTATGTTTGATGTGGATTAAGATATATAATTAGGTCTTCATTAGGGTCTTGCCAGTCTAATAAATGGCTCCATACATAAAATGGAAACGAAACCCCTTCAAGCATCTACGTTTTCTTCTAGGTACTGGAAACTCTGGAAAGTTATCAGCCAGATACTAGTATTAGTTATAAAAAATAATTAAACTGAATAGCACATTGGAGACTATATTTAAACCAGGGCTTCACGGAAAGGATTACTTAAAGCAAAAGGTTATATTATTTTTAAAGAGCACTTTGCAAAAGTCTAGTAGAATATTACAGTATCAGTACTGTATTTCAATCAACAGTAATTGCAGTCTAAATTATACGTAATAAACGGGCTTGAATTGAACACTGTAATCATTTTGATGATAGACGAACATACTTGTTTTTGTTCAGAGTTAATCAGATCAGACGGGCTGGCGTCAATCTTGTCAAATTACTAGATTTTATGGCTTGTAAAGCGGGTCCGTTCAACTCTATTGGTATTTTAGCTTTGTATAATATGAGACCTTCACGTCTTGTTCTTGAATTTTTGTACTCTACACTAGCATTTGTTAACGAAATGCATGTTTATTCTTGCTGATTACAAAGTTAGTATTGTCTATCTTAGACAGATTCTTCTGTTAGAATCATTGTATTCTCATTAAAAAAATCTTCTTTATTCTTTATCTGGACTTTGTTACCCGGGTGCTACTTTATAATCACAGCCATTATAATTTGTAGAGACGACGTAAATAGCACTACCAAGCAACTACTCTGTTAATTGTTTTCTCCAGCCCGTCTGTCTGCATTGGCGCGCTGTCTATCTACTACATTTCTACACACATGTTCGCCTGGTATTTCTAATACAGGTCATGGTCATCGATTTAGCAATATCCTCCACTAGCTAATCTCCATTCAGAATTGATGTCATTAGGGAAAAATTTCATTGTCGTCGTAGGAATGCAGAATTTAATCTCAGTGTGAAATACCACACTGATTACTCAGTACACATATTCTAGACGACAACACAATTCTCGTAACTCTCGCGAATTGCGTAGGAATTTTATCTTAGACACGAGACAGCGGATTATTTATTAATGACACACTTATTTCTTTGTGTACGATAATGTGTGGAGCAACCGATGTTACTTTAATATTTATTATTATATTGACAATATTACATAATCAGCGAGCGTGGACGGTGAAATCCGCGAAGTGTGGACATGTGGAGTGCGACCCGCTGCGTACCGCGAGCACGTGGCGGCCGGCGCTGGGCCACGACATAAGATGTCGACGTACCAACTCTTTTAAATGTCTTTATCGAGAAACAAATGAACATAACAATAAAATCATCCATATCATTACATTACACACATACGCGCTTTACATAACTGAACACGTCGATAACGAAATTAAGCGAAGTATGGCGAATTCGGTCGGCAGTTGTCGTTAACTTGAAAAAATCACGGTTTCAAAACTCATGAGGCTGTATATTTGAATTTATCGATGGCTTTAATATTTCTGTTGTGTGTAATGTGACAACAAGAATTCGGTGTCTTGTAAAAACTATTAATAAAATTAATTGGACCGTTCGCACGCAAGGTGTCTTGCTTAGGTACTTTATGACGAGATATTTGTTGAAAGTCAAATATTTCGTCCTTCTGAAATGAATAATGGGCCCCGTTCCACAATTTTTGAGAGTAATTTTGTTGTAGTTTCTGTCAATAAATCAAATTCGTCATACACTTAAATTAGTGTAAAAAAATATAAGGTGCAGCAAAAATCGGGTTTAAAAATAACAGCGTCTTCGTTCTTTATTTAATGATTCCACCAAGAAGAATAACGATTGTAAAATGAATAGTCACTGTGTTTTAATGTGGTAATATTTTGCTCTAGATAGTCATATTAATCAAAATAATTTTTACTCCTTTTCTTCTTTCTCGCGCATAAAATTGAAGATTTTGAAATGTGTGTTTAAGTCATTTTTTAATTAGTGGTTCTGGAGGGCCGAAATACAAAGTGTTGTGGGCCAATCTGATGACCCCATCTGAGGGTCTTGGTACATATTGGATTTTATTTAATGGCTGTGTTGGGCCGTATGGCGTGTGAACTTTGTATTATCAACTTTGTGATACATACCAAAGGACTTTTATAACGGTTCCTGTGTGTGCCTCGGACCAGTTTTTGGTGTGATTGTGATCAATACAATTGTTTATTTATCGTTATTTTTGTTTGGTTCCTGGAATAACGAGATCTACTTAACACTCGATTTTGATGATGAAGTTAAATTATGCAGTTAGGTAGATTAGGATAGGAGTACTGATTCATTGTTTGTAATTTGTTTAATTTTAGACATTAATAAAAATTTGTCATATTACTGAGTTTTTTGGTTTTTTGTATCAGAATATGACAACATGTAACATACATTGATACGTCATTGAAATACTCTAGATACAATAGCGTCAGCTGATTGATGACTCGAACTATGAACCTTCATCCACTACTATTAAAGCCATTCATCGTTGCGTTATATAATAACACATTAAAGTCAATTAAACCCTCTTTTCGTTAGAGTTTAGCAATTCTGAGAAATATGGCGTTAGATTTTTCATCGGAACCTTGTGTCAGTAGATAATTGTTTTGTAACTTTGTACACTGCTCTAAAGAGGTTAAAAGATGTAGAGATATGAATCGTTTAATAGGCAAGTGTGAACAGAACAGTGTTGCCATTGTTGAGCCCATTAACAAACTAGTTTTGACACGCGAGTCGCCTTGCGAAATGTCCAGCTCACGACTAAATAAATAAATACTTAATATTGTTACCCAAGCAGTTGATAAGTAATTTAATTAGACCGAGCTTAATTGAATATTGGAAATAATAACGAGAGTAGCGGGTTGCAGCGTGGCGATACTCTTGTATCAAATTAATCAAAGTTATGATCCGCCCGTGCGCAGTGCGTCTGCGTAGCTTTGTTGCGCTTAAACCGGCCAAACTGTTGGTATTGCTGAGAATATTCAGTATGTTTAACAAAGGCAATAATTTTCTTACAAATGTAGTAATCTAGATATACCGGTGTTCCGTGTAACCAATTTACGATGTAGAACGATGATATGAATCCTTAAATATGCGTCTATCATGAATCTTCTCATTCCTAAGCTATTTTATGTATGAAATATCCATAAATTATACGATGGTCGGGTGCTAAACTGCGTACTTATGATGCTATCTTAGTATGTATCTAAATTAAAGAGTTGGTTTATACCTAGGCGTTATGAAGCCGATTGCATAAATACGGCAAGGTGGCATGTTTGAGGAAGCTGCTCTAAGTAACGATCAATTTGCGTTAAGTCGACACGCTGCACTTTTTTTTCTTCGTCACAACCTTCCTTAATGAGTAGAGAAATCCACGGAGCCATCTAACTTCTATGCAAATGCATTTTCTTCTATTTTCGAAAGTATACTTACATATTGTGAGATCGCTAATGAAGACTGACAAGTAATTCATTGGGTTTTACTTTTATACCTACATGTAGACGAGAACGTATAGGCGGTCCATAAACGTAAATATACTAGAAGCAGCTCAAGGCGTAGAAATTAGAATTATGTAGGTGTACGCTTCATCCATGGTCGTTAGGTACGTAGTACAGGATATAACAATTCAGTTTCATATTTATTATCTTAATCTTTACGGAAATGTGCATCAGGCATCAGGCATCAGACAATGAAATTTTTAAAAGAGAACAGGTCTCAAAATAAACAAATTATAAATATCTGGATATTTTCACCTTCTCGTCGTGATTGATCTAGAAAGCTTTAATATTTGGCAGATAGCCTGCTTAAACAATAATAAGTTTAGAATATTTGTGCCATTGAAGTACTTATAAACCGTCTAAACTAAAACGCCCATTTTAATGAAGACCGCTCACGCAAGGATCGTTGCTCAAGATTCACTTGCTCTACATTCCTACTGGATTTATTATGAGTAGTTTTCTCGTACTATTTCTAAGCTGTAAGTGGAATACCTATGTAACACAAAGGAAGCTGGGTAGCTGGAACGTGGGCGGGGCGGATCCAATTATGTCTCAGCACGAACGAATTTATTGCACTGAACGTCTGCATCGCTCTCACCTTGACATGTCGTCGACTTACGTATTCTGGATCGAGCTGTACAATTTTCTACAACTTTTCCTTATTCAGAAATAGGTACCTATAATTGAGAATTTTACTAAAGTTTTTTCTGGCCAGCGATTCTGATTCGGTGTCAAAATATTGATTGACTGTCCTCTTCGTCATCCGAAACATGGCCAATATTGGCGGTATGCCAACGTTATGAATATTTAATCAGATAGGATGTATGGATGAAGTGCGAATTCCGTCGTATACATACTCAGCTAGTTCGGAGGTTGAAACGGAGGCTGCGCACGCGCTTTTGATCCGAGCATCGGCTAGAGACGCCGGCAGTCGCGCGGGAAACTTCGCGGCATTCGGTCGAGCTTACGGCCGTGAGCAACTCTGTGAAATATATTTCTCGATCATATTTACGATAACTCACATCGATTCGTGCGATATCGACGAGTACCGTGATATAAACTGTGATCATAAACTGAAGTGGTTGCTGGACACTGCTGCCATAATGTCTGGTTAAATATTTTTTGTAGAAAAACAGTGAAATATTAACTCTATCCAAATGAAGATGACTGTGAATCGTATAAGGGTGGTGGTGCTAGGGAGCCCTCGGAGCGGCAAGTCTGGTTAGTAAAGCATTCATCAACTTCTGCATTTTATGATTTTTAGCGAAAACGACCTCTGTATTTTATTAAAAGTCACCCAACCGTCATGAACTTCAAAATACAATTTAACAGACGTAAATATGAATGCCATCAATGTTGATCTGAAACATATATTATTCAAGTTAATAATATCCAATTACATTTACGAGTTAAAAAAAAACGAATACTTTTTAAGTGGCCAGAAGTGCGAATTTAGCGCTAAAAATACCAAAAATCAATAAGGACACTTTATTTTAAGAGACAATAATAATAAAAAGGCAATTAGTGCTTATCATACAGAGTAAACTCACACAAACAAACTCAGATTTCATTTTATAAACTCAAGAGTTTATTTTGCATTTAATTTTATTTTGTTATTATTAACAGTAATAAAATAAGGGATATGTTATTAAAGTCGACGGAGTGCAAATTTAAGGTGCGGAACCTGTAATTTCAGCCATCTAAAAGGAGTTTTTGTGTGGTTATTATTACATCAGGGGAACGAATAACGGGAACTGAGAATTGCAGGACATAATAGCGTTATTTTAAACCGACCATGTTTTTAAAGACATGCGGTTTTTATTTTATCAGTTGATTATTAAACATTAAATTTAAAATGTGTACGTTAAAAATGCTTTTTAATGTTGAGAGGCTTTTTAAAGGAAAAGGTTGTTTAAATAAACATCTTTACTTGTTTTTTAGTAGATTTAAAAGCGTGTGACAAGATTCAAATGTTTAAAGATTAATGTTGTACCTAACACGTACAAAAATAAATACACAGAAATCGTATTTAACGTTAAACTGATTGAATAAGTGAAAAACATACTAGGCACTCAAAACCAGGCAAAACGTTTTCAAGTGCATTATCATTATCAATGTCATAAATACATACTTTCCTTACATACCTATACATGTGCTTACCTCTAGATTACTAGAATATTTACGTTATAAATTGTATCAGATGTGTTAAACTATGATAGAGGAATACATATATCTAATTGTTCGCTTATCATATTATGGTATTTAATGGAATGCTTCTATGTCAATATTTATTATGATATGAGCTTATTTGATTAATGTATTGTTATATACTTGTGAACACCCGTCTGATTATGGTACATAATCAGACGGGTGGTGGACATGTGTTTGTTTGATACTTAGTTTACAATCTGCCTGATCGTTTAAGCGCCTTGTAAACATTTCGATGATTTCTTCATTTATTTTACTGTTATTGTTTCTGTTATACATATTTTCCTCAAGTTATTGAAGTTTCTTTACTGTTTTTGTTTAATTAAAAAAAAAGATAACTTTTTCGTATCGTTTGGTCCCGTAGATTTTTTAAGAAAGCGTAATTTTTAAAGATGGAACCTTAAAAATTGCTGAGTTATTCATCCCTTCGTCCATTCTACGACCTGTATTTGCTTATTTGGTTTAATTCTTGATGCACTGCAGAAGACAAAGTGCAATGCACCGCACGTGCAGCGGCACATGTATATTTGAACTTGATCTTAAATCGGAAAATAATGAAACAAGCCGTGTTTTACTCACCGTTATTTTTAACTACTATGACTTATAAAGTAAGCTAAGTAAACAATTAATTATGATAACGTCCGTTTACGATCTTCGATGGACGTCTGTGATAGAAATGGGCTTCGTAACCCGCTTCTGATATCGGTTTACTCAATTGCTAGTGATTCACGATCATGGCAGATCAGTAATGCTTTACAAATATGGTTATTGGCGTGTGATATACATGTGTAGAGCAACGACCTCGACGGCAGCGTTAATGGCTGATCGGACGTTTAAGAGTTACACAACGTCGTCTGGTGGCGCCAGGCGTCGCCGCCGTCGGGAAATCGCGCCGCTGACCCACCGGCCGACTCGCCACCGACTGGTTGTAATTGCACCGCCCTAATTGTCGGCCGGCTGACGGCTGACGGACCGGCTGCGACCGCTCCGAGACGCATGCGTTTGCAATTCATTACAGACGGGAGCGAGCTGGGCCGACATGCGAAATTGTTTCAATGTAGATCCTGTCCACGAACGGCCCCGTGGGAGTGGCGCTTGTCTGTCACGGATACGCTGTTCACGTCGTCGTTAAATGCCCTCAGGAGTATTATCTACTCATTAAACCTTTACTACTGACATTATTCACCGTGTTCATTCTTCACTGGGCCATTTATTTTCATATTATAGTGAACTCCGTTACTGCGAGGCCGCTGCTGCCCTGTACTTAATATCCTTCCAGATATCTGGGTCACGTTTAATGCTTCTTTCGAAAATATGATAAGTCTCTCCACACCCTGTGGTTATCCGACAGTTAAAGACGAAACACTAAAAATATTAATTATGTTGAGTCAATAAAATATTTCAATTAACAAGTCGAGCGTGGAGTGCTGCGTGTCAACGGTCGTTCATTTTTTTGGTCTGAAATGAATTGTGTATGTTGGGAGAGCAACGAACTTTAATTTTGGAAAGGAGTTACATTTTTTAACGTTATGACTGATTACTTTTGTAAAGGGCCTTTTTGTCGCCGAAGTGCCAAAATGGGATGTTAACAACCACGTTCTTGTAGTAAAAGCTTTAATAATATGGTCGGATGTGTCAGCGTAGCGGTGCGAGCTCGGAGCCCCGTGCGACGACCTTCTCACGGCATGATGAATGAGTGCAGCGCCAGCGATGAGGCATCGAAGCCTCGTCGACATCCTTTCCTCGCGGATTCTGACATATTCACTTGTAATGTGTCTGTATGATTGAAACTTTACATAATTTGTTTGACATGAGTTTGAAAGACATAATATTAAAAGACGTGCTTAAACAAAATGTAATGGTTGATTAACTTTAGGACCACAAAGATGACGAAATATTAAAAACTTAATTTCAATTTGTAACCATCCGATTCGTTACCAACTCACTTAAATGACTAATAACTAATGACTAGATGTGGACGAAAGTTACTGGAGTAATAATCGTCACATTTAATATTATGAATGCATAAATATGTTACTCTATAGCTGTCTCCAAGTTGGATTCAAGGGCATATTCTTCAATAGGTCTACGATAATAGATAGATGGTGCTTCCAGAATAGGATGATCCCTCAATATCTTTCAATCATAGTAGAATTAGCCCTACGATTGGTAAGTATAATTAGTACTCAATTTGCCATTACATTCTAGAACAACCCAGTTCTCTAACACATACACAGTATTGCACCACAACACTATGTTGATGTCACAATTATTGTCATGGGCCATACTAATTCAGACCGGTATCAAGACCGAGTCAAAGTAATAATGGTTGCTATTGAACTATGATGGTCAGTCGACACATGATCGATGTCTTCAATAATCTATTAATTACCCTAAAGATTCCTGTCGATAGCCACATCCATTGTTCTTGTAGATAACATACGATCTATCAACCCACGTGATGCCGTGTTGTTTGATCACATCAATTTGTCTTATATGCCCCGATGGTCATAATTTGATGTAATTTTTTATTGGAATCTCGTCAGCGAAGATTCGTTAATCATTTCTTGATCCTCCACAATAAGCTCGGTTAATTTATTACTTACAAATTGATGGTAAATTGTTTCGAAATTATGTAAGTGCTCGGTTTGTGAGTTATTGTTTTTGGTAGTTGATAGTAGTGGCCATTCTATTTTAGTAATGGAATATAGAACGTAATTTTTAAAATGTGCACTTACTCAATAATTTTAAATATACCGTGTATGACTGTATGTAGTAGAGTTTTTTTTTTCTATTCCATTTCAAATGAATTTGATAGTAATTGTATGCGATAATTAAGAAAGAAATACATTTTGGTATAACCCTCAATAAAATCCTAGACTAATATTTGTTTCTATTAAACTGTCAAACACCAAGCGGTCACCGGTGACCGCAACCTATTGTTCTATAATTGTGTCTATAATGACGGTACTTGACGAGTTAAAACTGGTAATAAGTGGAAAGAATTCAGAAATACAAACTCTACGCAGCACAACACAGTAATACGATTTAACCAACTTTATTCAACCAGTGAAATGCAACACACAGAGTTTTGGTTAAATGCCAAGAACCTAAACCAATAAAAACCATAACAAACTTTGTATGTAGAGAGCAAACAATAAAAAACTGAAATTTTAATTGAATTCCGCATATTTCAGTTAAAAGTGGATCGATGAAACTTTATCACTCGACGATTATGTACGTAATCGGATCGCAGAGAAAGTAATGCATTCAATACTCTGTGCACACAGGGAAAAAAATCGAAAGGAAAAAATGAGAGTGAGGAATTTCGAGCGTGTTTCATAAACTACGATATATTGTGGTGTGTTGTAATTTTTATCAACGCATGAAAAGGTTTTATTGCATTGCTTTATTGACGTGACGATGGTTTATCGGCCGCTGGTCGTCAATCAAATATCGAAGATATCGATCTTCTTTCTCAATTATTAATGTCATCATACGCGGACGTTGGGGGCTTTGGGGATTTGTTTTGTTTCGTTAGATTATTCTATTAGGCTTTAGGTTTTTATGCCTTAATTTTTTATAAATATCCTGAAGGTCGCAAAAGTAAACACCGTTAATTTCTAGATCAAGAAACCTAATAAGCTGTTACTATCGACAAAGTAGATAAATCCGAAGAATTCCATGAAAAACGAAAATTAATTAAATCAGAGAAGCTCAGCTTATTCGCTTCCTTTAAAGTAACAGCACAATCGGTTCCTTATAGTTACGTCGTCATGCCGGGAATGGCATAGTATTGTAAGGTAATAGATTTCCTATCCTAGCCTTAACCGTCTGCGACAGAATGCGTACGGAATGCATTCCAAGTCCATTGTCATGCGACAACGTGCAGCAGTTGCATAAAAGCATTGTGGACTCTTGTGTAACAGCCTTGGGTCAAGATTCTGACACAAATAGTAACGATATCTCATTCGGGAGTATTATCCATACGTTGATGTCGTAAACGATTCTTGTAATGGAATGTTAATTAGCATTTGTTACGAAAACAGATGTCTATCTAGAACTGAACTGATATGCAGTGTATTCTGCTTCATGCTAATGTTTCCTATTGTTTGGTCTATCTCTTGTTGGTTTATATTTTTTCTTTGTGAATTGTTAAACTGGTTTGGTTACTAGCTAGATAAAAATGGTAGCATTAATTTTCTCGATGCCATTTTGCGTACCTATAATTTGGTGAACCGTAAAGAAATATGAAATACTAAATAATGTCGTGTATAAATTATCTACTAATACAATAAAATACAATATTTTAATTTTAATAGACATTATACCAACGAATGAATTGAGAATTTGTAGTTAATAGCTTCTAGCTTTGTTATGGCTAGACCGTGACCATTAAATGACCAGCATAATCAAATCAAGGTTGATTATATTAAACCTATTTGTCATGTCTCAAGCTACACCTTATTCAAATTACTCGTTTTCATCATCCAAATGACAAAATGCAGTACACTTGAAAGGGTTAAGTACGAACGTAATCTCACGTCCGACGGCCGCATCGGACAAGCGCAGCGCCTTTTGATGGGCTGCAGGATTCTCCACACTTCATTTCGTCGGTAGCTTACAACCGACGCTATTCACGCAACTTGCTTGGTCATTGTTGTTGATAACTGTTTGTATTGTGTAAAACCCTTTGATGGAAATTCCAGGAGTGAAAGGACTAATCAGTATTTGATCCACTCGCTTCTAGAAAGTTGGGAGTGACGACCTCTTAATTGTTCGCCTATTTACAATATGTCTTCGATGAAGGCGTGCTTCTTACAATGTTATTCATTTGGTTCTCTTTTTGTTGCAGCGGTGGTCGTGCGTTATCTAACAAAGCGGTACATCGGAGAATATAGCTCGACAGGAGGTTAGTAAAGTTCACTCGATGAATCATTATTATCATAATAAAAAGTATTTATCTCGTTTGATCATTGCCTTTTAAAAATAATTGTACACGTGCGTATTATGTTGTTGGCAAATTCAATAAACTATCGAACTGGCATTTAAGTGACGTCAATACTTGGTTAATTTACAAAAGCTTCAATCATATCTGTCACGTATTACTGAAGTGGATTGTATTATGTATTTAAATTTAAATGTCTGCTTCCTTCCGACCTTAAAGCGACGTGTTTGCGTCAGTCGGCGCCATGCCGCAATTCTCGAGAGTTGAATTAAAATATTAAGGAAATAGCTTTCAGCACTCGATGTCATAGTTAATGCTGTTGCTATCACCGACGACAATGATATCAGCACAAAAGCGATCACTACGCACAGTTCTAAACCGTGTTCTCTTGTTGCAGATTTCCTTTATCAGCACAGAGTGGCTTTCGACGGTGCCGTTTCAGAAGTTGAAATACTAGATACATCTAATTGCGCGGTAAGTAACGAGTCTGCAACAATGTTGCTTTTAGAGTTAACACTAAAATATCAGTCACCGTGAACAAAAGGCTCGACTTCTCTGATAAGATTAAAACTCGAAGCTCGAATAGCAAACGAAGAGATAGACGGTCAAACTTAATTTACCATTAAACAATGGAGATGTTAATCTGCTGTGGGCTGTGTTGGTAGCGGCTGATGGCCGCAGTACAATTTAATTAGACGAAGTTTATGTGGCTTGTATCGGCTTATCAGATGCGATCGTTGCCGTTGCTGCATCAGTGTGGCTGCAGGCGAAATCCTACGTTCAAACCTACGCTACGATAGAATACACGGGAGAATTCATGTTACGTAATTGTTATGCTTTTATTGTTGCTGTATGGGTGCGCAGTGATTCTTAAACCAGTTCTGTTTCCTAAACAACGAAGATGTTTATTAAACGCATCGATAACGGAACTAAAAGAACAGAATAGATTGGATGCTTTGTATTATTGTGCAACCGGTGATATTATTCGGTGCAGCGAGTGGCCCCGATACGGGATTCCGAGTACCAGTTGTGGCTCGCGACTTTATTTACAATTATAAGTTAAGTTCACTGACTTTATTTACAATTTTAGCTATTCCAGATTCGCAGGCTCGAGGTGAACATTCAATTTGCATTGCGATTTATCGAGCAAAATGGTGTTTTAAATACCATTTACATTTTATTATGATACACACATAGGAACATATTGCTGTTAAAAGTAAATTGAAGTAAGAATTATGGACGATCATTCCTATTTTCATTATTGTTTTTAACTTAATTGAAATATTTTTATAGACAGAAAATAAACGTTCATTTTGTAGCTTAGCATATGTTATAAGGATCTCAAATCGTTTACAACAACAGATGATGGAATAGGTCGAGATTCAATCAACAAATTCTAGAGTCATCTTGGACCATAACCTGACACTGTCATGTTATAAAATCTCATACAAATCGAAATTGTATCGAATGTATTTTTTACTCCCAAATACTTGGTCTTGGTATGAGAGATATTTAAGAACTTCAAAAAATTATGTCAATCTGATGCTATCAACCTTAAGCTGAAGCATTATGGGGATTCGCTTAGAGCACTGCTTTTCGATTTTATTCTATTGAGGGTGCCGTCAAGAAAGACTATCTACTACTTATTAATTTCCCTGCAAAAATTATTTTGGGTATTTAATGGATGCATTTGTCCTTAGATCCGCGGCTGTTTAGCTGAACATGTGAGATGGGGCGATGCGTTCGCTGTCGTGTACTCGGTGTGTGAGCGCCGCTCCTTCTTAGCTGCAGCTGAACTGCTCTCCTTACTGGAGCGCACGAGACTGCCCGGCTGCGCTGCCGTCACCCTCTTAGGGAATAAACGTGACCTCGAACACGCCAGGTAAATTACTAAATTTGGGTTTTTGAAGGTTGTTCATCATTTATATGCTCATTAGGGAACTGATACCTATTAATAAACTATTAAAGATACTTTAAGCTATAATTTACTTATACTATACCCTTATCAACGACATTATTACAGGAAAAATTAATATTTTTTTTTGTTATCGGAAGTTCTCTTTTGATTATAATACTATAGATATACTTCTGTACAAATAGGGAGGTCCATGCAGAGGAGGGTCAAGAACTGTCGCTGAGATTCGGCTGTCAGTTCTACGAGGTGTCGGCGGCGGAGTCGTGCGCGGGCGCAGCGCTTGCGTTCCACGCGCTGTTGCGGGAGGCGCGCGCGCTGGCGCTCTTGTTGCCCGCCCCCAGGCGAAAGCTTGCTGCCTACTCTGTCTCTAAAGTGAGTTATCATGTGACTCAATTTTGTGATAGAAATGACAATATCATAAGCAATAGAAATTATCTAACACATTTGTTAATTTTGCCAAAATAACCGATTGTTATATGTATGTGTTCGAGAAACGATAATTATCATGGAAAATCATTATACCATTTTTATTCATTCTTTTCTTTTGCGCTCTAAATTGATTCAGAGCGCTATATAAATACAGTATTTTTTAAATCACTATATTTATTTTTAAACTTCGTATTTCAAGACGTTAATGAATACTGCCTCGTTGGCCGAGTGGTCGCAAGTGCGACTGCCGGGCAAGGGGTCTCGGGTTCGATTCCCGGGTCGGGCAAAGTATTACCGTATTTTTAAAAAAATCTCAGTAGTAGCACGGAGTCTGAAGTTGTGCCCGGTATATGGCAATAGGCTCACCCCTTATTACATGGGACTCGTAACAAAAACAGTGAAAAGTGGGTGATACATTGTACAGTGGCATAATGTGCACCTCTGTCTACCCCTTCGGGGATAAAAGGCGTGATATTATGTATTATGTAATGAATACTCAATCGTAAAGAACTCCTTAAGAACTTCTTAATCTCCGATTACGAAACATCCACAATATTTGTTCATATAAAAGTAGTCTCTAAACATCGGAAATAAGTTCTATAGCGAAGGTGGTCATCGGTGACCGCTTGGGGACCGAGCAGAGGGACGTTTGGTGATCGCTTGGGGACTCGACTTAATTATAACAACTCTATTTTTGTTTGCAGGTAATTGGCACGATATTTGGAAAAAACAGCAAAAGTGTCAGAAAGAAAAGGCCATCGTTGAGCATTTAATGTACATATAATTTATTCTTAATTCACTTTCAGACTGGTTTGTAAATAATTAATTTTAATTTAATGTAAGGTTTCCAAGTTATGTAGCTACGTTTATGTTGACGTCTACTTCATTTGTGATTGTGATTCTCAATAATAAAAACGGATTTACTCAAGAATTATCTATATAAATATATACATATATCCGGAAGCCATATCTCACACAGTGAAGAAATTCATATGTAAATATTATATTTGATAATAAAAATGTAAATAAAACAATAAGGTAATACACCTCGCATTAGAATTTTAATTTTTAAATATAAATGTTGTAAATAATAATCTTAAGGTGGATAAAATTTATGTGCCTATATAAAGGTCTACAGTTATCTCATTAGAATAATAAATTTTAATATAATAAATGTAAATTGTTTTAATCTACTTTAAACCTTACCCATGCATATCTTGACTAATATTGATCGAGATTTGGATTTAAGTAATTAACGTCTGAATATTGAATTGCTGCTCAATTTTAAATTGTACCTAAATGTCGTGCTATCTCTGTCATTTTACAAAGAATTTTTAGTGAACCGTGACAGAACTACACTTAGGCACGACTTTTGAGTCATCCTCAACAGTCTATAAATACCCACTGCTGAGCAAAACCTCTTCTCACACGGAGAAGGTTTGAGCATTAATCACCACGCTTGTTCAATGCGGGTTGGCGATTTCAAACTTATAATTGGAAATTATAAGTCCAGGTTTCCTTACAATGCTTTCCTTCACCGTTTGTCAGAGGTGTCTAGATAATCTTAGAAAGTACATATAACTCGGAAAAAGTCACATTGGTACTTGCCGTTGGTAGGTTTCGAACCAGCACCCTCATGTATGAGAAGTGCGTCATGAATTTCCGGGCCACCGCGACTTTTGAGTATCTGGGCTTAAGTAAATTATTTTTGACCATAAAATTGGTAATTAAATGAATTAATTCCAGTGTTATGTTATTATTAAGAAACAAAGAAAACTCCAGACTAAATTCCAAGCTAGTCTGAAAACTAGATCGTACCTATTGGATGACCTACAAGTACCTCTATATAGTTCGTAAGCTATTTACATATCTATGTGTACTTCCAAAAGCTGGTTAGTAATTCAGACTACGATTCAAAGCAAATATATAAGATTTTCACGAAAATGAAGAAAACTAAACTCGTCAACAGCTGTAAGGTGTCTACTGCAAAAAAAAGCCTTGCGTTTGAGAGGAAGACTTCCACGCTTGGTACGTGGCTAGTGGATCAGAGTCAGGTTCCTAAATATTTCGAGATAATTTTTAGTTACCCGTTCTTAGGCTGGTCACTATTTTTGGACGTACCCGTATCATAGGTAACTCCTATACACGTCGTTAAATTATATACAACGTATAAGAACCTATAAATTGCAGTAAAGGTTTTTGATTCTACGTAAAACATCTATTCAGTCCTCAATAATACAGCCCGTACATCTTATAAAGCAGGTTGTACTTGAGTGCCCCGAACAGATATTTCACAGACAGTGCTATTGCCCGAACACTACACGTTGTAGTGTTGTATCATCGATCCTGATTGCCTTGATATATTCTTTAACGTAGGAAAGCGAATAAGTACGGACGTCGAACGCTTTCTTAGATCATAATGCTGCGATAGCGTCAAATTGATCGCAATATGTTGCACCTTCTATACATGTCGTTAAAAGCTCTAATGAGTTTCTGTTTTCACTGGTGAAGTGTCTGAGTGTCACATCGCTCTGCATCGGACAAGGTTTGCTGTCCAACGTATATTGATCGGGCAGGGTAGTCAATGGCCGGAGAGAGTTTCGCCACGACTCGACCTTGCATGTCGGAGCACTCCCGCACCACGTCCGATCTACCGATAAAACCTATCGCAAAGACGAATGTGACGTTACAAGTCCGCTACATGTGAAAGCAACCAGCACAAATTCAAGGTCCCGGAGAAATTACGCATCGAAATCCACAGATGTTAAACAAACAGTATCCGACAGATCACTACTGAACCGGCAGAGCTGAAAATTATCGGGCAGATCAACAACTGCTGATAGCGTGATCAAGTTCAAGAGCACGTCAATAAATAAATACGATACAATTTACTAAGTAAACGGTTTAGGAACGAATGATTATGCAAGCGACAAGTACCAGGTACCTAAGCATTACGGTTACGCAATGGGCAATAAATGTTCCCTTAGTGGTTCCGCTGTGGCATTAAATCGGGCACGTGCAGGTGTATCGGTCGATGCCGAGATATGACTAATAAATCGGATCCCTTGATCGCATTAGTGGCGCCAACGTTCCGCTTGCCACAGCGGAGCGGTCGCGCCGAGGGTAGCGATCGCTATCTGCCCTATCGTAGATTCCTATGCAGCGCTGTGCACTATATGCAGGTGCAACGGAACTACATTTTATACCATACTTACATACAAGTAATTCTTGTTTGACATTATTAATATAAAAAATATGTATTCCTAATTTATATTGATTCACAAACATTTTATAAAATCAGCAAAGAATATAAAATGAAGTGGATTCTAAAGAAAAGAGTTAAATGAAATTTGTGAATGACAGTCGTAATAATAGATATCATAATCAATAATCACTCAATAAAGAAAGTATTAAATCCACAATAGCGATAGAGCATTGTCACTAATTCACAGAGAAGAGGTCAAGAACGAATGACCTCTCGCAATCATCGTGATATTTAACGTCAATTAAAGAATTTAATGAATCAGCAATCGACGAGTTGGGTGAAAGCTTTAGATGTAATCAGGCAGGATACTGTGTAAAATTGCGATGATGTACACGATGCTATGATAGCACGCCCCGAGCGGACAGTCAGTGACGTACACACCACTGTAGATAACCTGTTCCAGAAAGCTGATCTATTAATATTTACCGTACATGTTCATCATTCTAATCTAATCCGAGGACCCGAAGCGTATTTAATTGAGCGTAATGATGAAATGAAATAAGTACAGAAACGATATCATTCACGATGTATAAGATGCAGTACCGCAGTGACAAGAATATGACATGTAGTAGGTAAGTCGTGGTGTCCGTGTATCGGGATTCCTGATCCAGTAGATAAACTATCAGCCACTTTCATCTCCCGCTTTAGATTAAACGATTACTAGTTTCGTCTAATTGCTCGTGTTTGTCTCGGATGGAATCGGTCATTGAGATTTATGCATGACTGAGGATCGGACTGGTACGTGATTCGGATCTAATGATAGATAGCCCTGCCAACAAGATGATCTTTGATTTACTTTACTGAATAAGGCTATAGATGAAGATAGAACGTGGACATCATATGTTGTGGAAATCATAATCAACAATAAGACATGAAACAATAATATACACGACAGTCATATAACGTGTTTAGAATGGCATAATATATACTCTTTTTTGTTTACGCGAGACATAATACATATTATGTAAATACATTATTTCTGTTCAATAATACTAGTAATAGTAAACAATAATAGTTAAAGCTTCGTTGAAAAAAAGAAAGAATAAAACAGGCTAAAGGGTCTTGATACAAAGTCTTCTGCTTTGTTGGTAATTTTTTTTTTATGGCATAAGCCGGTAAACGAGCAGACGTATCACCTGATGGTAAGCAATCAGCGTCGCCCATGGATACCTGGACACCAGAGGCGTTACAAATGCGTTACCGGCCTTTTGGGGATTAGGAGTTTGAGGATCGTTGGGGATTTAGGAATTGGGAAGATTGGGGAAGGGGAGGATAATTGGGCCTCCGGTAACCTCACTCACACGACGAAACACAACGCAAGCGTTGCTTTACGTCAGTTTTCTGTGGGGCCGTAGTATCACTCCGGTCGAGCCGGCCCATTCGTGCCGAAGCATGGCTCTCCCACACTTTCCAAATTTTCAAAAAAATTGACTAATATGTATTTGTCAATAGAATTGTCCCTTATTAATATAGGACCAATACGAGTGACAATAAGTGATTGATGATGAGTTTTAAAGATTAAATGTTGTGTTATTTTTCCCTCATAAGGGCCTTGATTGAAGAGAGTAAGGTTTGCAATGTCGAGTGTATCTGCAGCCGCAGTAACCGCGACGTGTCCTTGTATATTGTTTGTGTTTGCAACTTCAACATGTAATACACTTGATTCACTGGAAAATTCTCAGAACAGATTATTATTGTCATTCAGTGTTTAACCAACAATTTGAGTATTTATAATGCAAAAGCCCAAAAACCTTTAAACTGTCAAACACCAAGCGGTCACCGGTGACCGCAACCTATTGTTCTATAATTGTGTCTACAAAACCGGTACTCGACGAGTTAAAGAATAAACGAATTTTAATTTGACATTAATTTCTTCTGTTTCTTTCATTAGTAGTTCGTTATGTAGCCTGAAAATAACTGGCAAAAATTGAGTAGATCATTGTTGTCAAAAACAAACAACATACATAACATCTGGCCTTTTATTCCCGAAGGGGTAGGCAGTGGTGCACATTATGCCACTGTACAATGTAACACCCACTTTTCACTATTTATGTTATGAGTCAGTCCCATGTAATAGGGGATGAGCCTATTGCCATATACCGAGTAGAATTCCAAACTCCGTGCTACTACTGAGAATTAAAAAAAACCCAATATTATTTTGCCCGACCCGGGAATCGAACCCGAGACCCCTTGCCCGGCAGTCGGACTTGCGACTCGGCAAACGAGGAAAAAAACATTTACATAATAACTGTGAAAAATAAACTAAACTTGAAAGTTAAGTAAAGTAAACTCAAACTCAAACACTAGATCAATTCCAGAATCAGGGATGTTATATCGGGGATACCTAGTTTTGCCCGATCCATAATCGCACATTCTTGCTTTTCTCTATCGACGAGACAACAAAGAGTAGAACAATGGGGATTAAAAAAATAAAGTAAATAGAATACATAATAACATAGATCATAAACATACGGTATTGATGACAAAAGTAAGTATAGATTCATAGTCAAGATAACAATGAAAGATGAGTAGACCTTGAAAAAAGCCAACTACTAAGATTATGGGTCGTATAAAAAAGATACGATTCAACATGGGTTGCATACTCCCTGGAACTATTAGCCTCTAGGCACTCATTCAAGTAAGAACATAATACAAAATGTTTGTCACACCGGAAATCTTTGAGTTGTAAAATATTAGAGACCTTTGTACAATAAAGTTTTATCAACTAAATTCTCACACACATAACATAACAGGTAACGTTAATAAATATTGCACAGATGTCGTAACACGGGAAAAAAATAAACGCAAGATTAAATTGAATAATTGTGCGGCTTAGAACCGGTAAGCGAATG